AAAAAATGTAAAATAGAATGCAAGTATAAATACATGAATTCATACCCGTCTCAAACCCATATAAGATGTTTTTTAGATGGCATTTTGTGTCGACAAAGTTGACAAGGATGTTCAAAGATAAATCAGCTAAATGTTGGATCATATTATCATATGTGGTGAACATGTGTAGAAGCCAAAAAATATTGGACAAAAATACAAAGATGATACAACAGCACATTGATTTAAAACCTGAAATATTTTTCTTGGGGATTTTACCTGAAATCTATAGTATAGAGGTGATTATTCATGTGTTAACTACAGCTAAAATTGTATTTGTACAAAAATGGAAAAGTGAAGAGATTCCTACTGATGAGAATGTGATCAGGAAAATTTTAGAATGCGCAGAAATGAATAGGTTAACACTCGCAATTAAATGGAAGGAACAAACTGAATATTACATGATATGGGAATTATTCTATCAATGGATAGAGAACAAATATGAAAGTTAGAAACAAAGAAGATTAGTGAAAATGTTAGAAAACACGTTAATAGAATTAAATAAGTTGAGGATTGCTATAATAATTAGATATATTATGTATATCAGTATTAAGAGTTGAAAATTAATATTAATGTAATGAATATGGCTGTAACTTTGTTATTGCACAAGATATTTGTACCCAGATGATACACTGTTTAATGGATGATGGATTGTTTCTATTAAAAATATTTTTTTATAGATATATAAAAAAAGAATTCATACCCGTCTCAAAAGTCAATCTGGCCTAAGGACCGCAATCTTCCTTCTGCCAGTGGCCGTTAGACAACATGGGAATAAATATTCTTTTGAACTTAGCGGGGACCGAAAATTGGATCTACAGGCTCCAAGAAGTCCCAAGATTTAAATCTTTACTACAGGCAGTCCTTGATTTACAACAATTGAGCCCCAAATTTCTATTGCTAAGCGAGAGAGTTAAGTGCATTCTGCCCCACTGTAGGATCTTTCTTGCTACAGCTCTTATGTGAGTCACTGCAGTTGTTAAATTAGTAGCACAGTTGTTAAGTGAATCTGGCTTTGCCATTGCTTGTCATGTGACAAGGGCATCATGTGACTGCAAATGTCATAAATATAAGCCACTTGCCAAGCATCTGAATTTGGATGCCGTGACCATGGGGATGTTTGCAAATGGTTCCAAGTGTGAAAAAATGGCCATAAGACATGTTTTAATTATTTTATTTATTCAACATTTCAACATTTAATTTCCACTTTTTACAATGATTCTGTAACAGTGTTCACACTGGTTAATAAAGTCCATAGCTATATCAATTGCTTCTCCATTCTATTCACTTATACTCTTATTTCTTAATCTAACTTATAACACTATTAACATATATACATATACGACATTAATACTTTCTCATTTGAGCATGCGGTCAATTGATGCCTTTGGGCATAAGACATGTTTTAAATACCATTATAACTTCAGTCATTAAATGAACTGATGTAATTTGAGGACTACCTGTTCATTTTGAGGTATTCGTGTAATTTGAGGACTACCTGGGCATGGCTAGTCTAGTGAAGAGAAGGACCAAGGAAGACATGATAAGCAGTGTGCCAATATTTGAGGGGCTGCCACAGAGAGGAGGAAGGGGTCAACTATTTTCCAAGGCACCCGAAGGCCAAACAAGGAATAATGGATGGAAACTGAACAAGGAGAGATTCAACCTGGAAATAAGGAGAAACTTTCTGCCAGTGAGAACAACCCACCAAAGGAACAGAAGTTGCCCTCAGAAGTTGTGGGAGCTTCATCACTTGAGACTTTCAAGAAGAGACTGGACTCCTATTTGTCAGAAATGGTGTAGGGCCCCCTGCTTGTACAGTGGGGGTTGGACTAGATGACCTACAAGATCCCTTCCAACTCTGTTAATCTAATCTAGTCTTCACATCCTTTGCAACATGAATTTCAGTGATACAATCTCCATCCAATGCATCTGGAAGTCAGGCGTGATAGAAAGGAATATTTTTTTTTTAACTGCCAGCACCAAGATGATGAAACTGTCCCAATCTGGGGTTTTTCCAATTCTTCTTTTCAGAGAATTATTTCCTCTTGCAGCAAAAGCTTGGGCACCTTCCAAATGTTGTAGGAAACCACATGATTTCTGGATTTTCTGCCTAAAAAAAATGTGATTTACGGTCTTGATAATTAAATAGGATGACAGAAACGAGAGCAACACAGGTGTGCCTCGAATTGCAACAGTTCATTTAGTGACCAAAGTTACAATGGCACTAAAGTGACTTATGACCATTTTTCACAGTTACAACCTTTGTAGCATCCTCATAGTCAAGTGATCAAAATTTGGATGCTGGCAACTGGTTCGTGTTTATGACATTTGCAGTGATTGTATTTGCGAACATCTGACAAACATGGGAAAGCCAAGTTCACTTAACAATCGGATTACTAGCTTTAACAACTTCAGTGATTCACTTAGCAATTGTGACAAGAAACATTGCAAAATGGGGCAAAACTCACTGGACAAAATGCCTCATTTAACAACAGAAATTTTGGGCTCAGCTGTGGTCATAAGTTGAGGACTACCTGTATGATGTAACTTGAGAGAGGGAGGTTAAAATATATTTGAACTTATCACTGCTGTGAAGAACATTGGAAGTGACTTTCTTTATATTTTTTTCATTTTCAACTTTATTCTTGCTTTTTGTTTTTTGCTTTCCCTTTCTTTTCCCTAATTTTGCTTTTTTATCTTCTTATTTCAAAGTTTTAATAAAAATTACCTCTCTTTTATCTGCAGGTAGCTTGCAACCCATGACCACAACGGAGGCCAGAATTTCTGTTATTAAGCAAGGTGATTGTTAAGTAAGTTGTGCCTGATACAATGACCTTTTTTTGGCCGTAGTGGTTAAGGAAATCACTGCAGTTGTTAAATGAAGCATGCGGTCATTAAATGAACTGGCTACCTCCCTCCTCCATTGACTTGGCTTGCCAGAAGCTGGCTGGGAAGGTTACCAAGTGGCGATCCCATGACTCCAGGACTTTGCAGATGTTGTAAATACATACTGGTTGCCAAGCACCTGAATTCTGATCATATGAGGATGCTGTGTTAATTTTCAGTGCAAGGACCGCTTATCACTTTTTTCAGTTGCCATTGTAACTTAGAACGGTCATTAAATGAATAGTTGTTTCCCCCAAAATACGACCTACTCCCAAAGTCCTAGCTTGATTTGTTACATGTACCCAATATAAGCCCTACCCCCAAAATAAGCCCTAATTAAGATCCTGCCCTTTCCAGTAAAAATTAAGCTAGGGTGGGGGTGGTAAGAGCTGCCCTACTACTTACCTTCGAATATAGTTGCAGACAGGCCTCGCACACCTCGGCCTGCTTCTTCTGCGGCCGGCAAGGCTTTTCTGAACGCCTCTGTAGCCAGATCGATCCGGAGCTCCGTTATCGGCTACAGAGGCCTTTAGGAAAACATTGCTGGCTGCAGAAGAAAGAAATCGGCTGAGGTATAGGAGGCCTCACTGCAGCTATCCAAAGCCAAAGAAGTACCTGAAGAGAAAAGGAGGCCGGGGGCAATGTGTGCAAATGAGGTTAGTCAGTGGATGACCCCACCCCGAAAATAAGACTTGGTGCCTTTTTTGGTGGCAAAAAATATAAGACAGGGTTTTATTTTCGGGGAGACATGGGTAAATCGAGGACCATCTATATATAAAGCAAACATTTGGGAGGTTTACTGGTCATCTTGTCAAGCAGCCACCATAAATATGCTGACTTTTAAATCCCATCACTTTGGCCTTGGAGGTTAAGTGAACTGACTGGAAAACTTAAAAAGTGTTCCAAAATGGTTTTGCATACCACTACTAGCTTTTATTTAGAGTCACACATCACAAACCAGAGTTAGCTGAATGAACAAACTAACATGCAAAGAAAACACAAGGAACGATTTGAAGAACATCTTTGTTCCAAACCAAGCCAAGCTACATGGTGATGTGTAAAAAATAAATTTCTGTATTCCAAAATGCTTTGAGGGGAAAGACGATAGGCCTGTTTTTGTTCATCTTTATTGTATCTACTATTGTGTTATTCTGTATGCTGCCTTAAGTGGTGAAAAATGAAAACAGTATAAATATGTTGCAATGAATGGTCAGATGATAAACAATCACGTCGGCTTCTGTGACTTGCCAGCCATTGTTCCCGGTGCAAAAGCTAGCCAGTTGTGGTTTGTTCCAACAAACCAGGATCCCATTTCCTCCCCGCCAGCCTGCCTGCCGGCTCTTGTGGCTGTTGCAATATTATTTGAACGCCTCCCAAACTCAATCCCAAATGCCTCGTTTATGAAAGCAAAGGCGCTTTGCCAAACCCACGGTGGCAAAAGCAGAATGGAGCCGAGTGGATCCCGGATCGGGTGGATCGGGAAAACCCAGGCCCTTGTCAATTCCCCCACTAGGCATTGCAGGCCGGCCGAGACTCAACGCATGCCTCAACTCATTCCGGCCCGACCCACATTTTCCCAACTCGTAAACAACAGCAACAAAACACACACAGCTCCGTTGAGCTTTTGACACTAAGCTCGATGCCATGGCGTCCCCGTCTCGCCCCCTCCTTCGGCTGGCATTTGCGCCTCGCCGTCTTTGTCAGGGAAGGCAGGCAGGCAGGCGGGCAAGGAAAGCGCAGGCCTGGATCCCGCCTAGCGGGCGCAAAGCACGGCCCCCTTTGCCTTCCTGAGGATTTGCTGGCAGGACTGCAAGTCACCTCCAGCTCCCAGCCGGAGCGCCCCAGCGGCTGGCTGCCAGGAAGCCGCGACGCAGCGAGGAACCCAGCTTGTGCCAATGGCGCACCGGGCGCTGCGCTTTTACGCGCCGCTATTGGCCCGGCGGTTGGCGAGTCGGGGAGGGCGTGTCGGGGGCGGGGGGGGAGCGTTACTTTCCGAAGTGAACTTTCTCTTCCCCCCCCTTCCCGCCCCGTCTCCTCCCTCCTGCCCTCCCTCCACGGTGTCTTCCCCTCCCGCAGCGGCCGCTTCGCCTTGTTTTGCGCGCGGATGGAAGTGAGCTGCAGCGTCGCGGGGAGGAACGGCGGCGGAGGCGGCTCCACCATCGGAGGCAACAGCAGCGGCGGCGCCGGCGGCCAAACGCCGGCCACGCCGGCCAGCCTCGCGTCCTCCTCTTCTTCCTCCTCCTCCTCCGCCGCCGCCGCCACGGGGCTCCTGATGGACGGCGAGAGTCCCTGCGTGGAGGACTACGAGTGCCTGCCCACCAACGCCTCCCTCTACACGCACATGACCGCCGGGGCGGTGGCCGGCATCCTGGAGCACACGGTCATGTACCCCGTGGACTCCGTCAAGGTGGGTCGGGGGAACGAGCGGAGGTGGGGAGGAAATCGGACGCGTGCGCCAGAGCTGGAGAGAGCTGCTCCTTCCTCCAGGCTCCCTGCTTCGCTGATCTTGCCGGACTACAAAGCCCATCACTGCAGCCGGAGAACGCGACCCTACACATTTGGCTGGGGGAGAGGGGACCCGCTCCTGGGTAGTCTTCCCTGCCCCCCCTCCCCCCAGCTCTTCTTGCACCTAATCTTGGGGTTCCCTTTTTTGGTATTCTTACCGGGTTGAAAAGAATTCATTTTAAGCGTCGGGGTTCCTGTAACATATAACTTTTTTTAAAAAAAAAACTGGCTCTCTGCAAGTCTACAAATTGCAGTTAGGGATTGCGAAATCGCCCTGGCAGCTGGGTCTTTGGAACAACCTGACTTTGGATCAGGGCTGATCTGCTCCAGGCTGCGTACACCCCCTCTCCCTTCTCCAAAGAGATCTGTTGGGCCGCTTTTGATCATTTGCCAGCCAATCTGTTTCTGTCTTGGGTGTCCTCTCTGCAGCTTCCTCTTGGAAAAGGTACACAAAAATTGCCCCTGGGCCTTGGAATGGCATAATAATCACATGTATCGCTAATTATGGGATTGGAAGTTCCGGTGTTTCCAGATGTGGCAGGTACTCTGCAGCCCTTGGGTGGCTTCATCCATCGGACAGGTTTGGTGTGATGCGAAGCTGGCCTTTCTTGGCCAGAAGGAGGGAGATTTGGCTGGTAATCCCAAAGAGCCCTTTATTTGGAAACTCACTTAAGAGATGCTGGCTGGACGTACAGCTGATCTTTGACAAGCGTGTGGAGAAGAGCATCAGTTCAGCCTCATTAATTGGGCATTTATTAATCCCTGGCATTAAGAATTAACCTCATTAGAAGGCCAGCAAAGACTCTGCTTTAATCTGCAAATGTAGTAAATTTGTGAAGAGCTGGGGTAGTGCTGAGAAATACTTTGTGTAGATGTCCCCGAGTAGCATCTACGTGTTGAACTGGGCCCCAAATCTGGAATTACTGCGACCATTGATTCCTGACCATCCACCTTCTCTAGTTGGGAGTGATCTCTTTTCTGGTGGCACAGATTGCTTAATCATCTTTCCTACCTTTGTCATTTCCAATACTGCTGATCTCTCTCTCTCTTTCTCTCTCTCTCTCTCTCTCTCACACACACACACACACATTTTTAAATTGACCATTCTACCCATCTGGCACCAACCCTTCCTTCAAAATATTGCTGAAGGTTGTGTGTGAGCTGCCATATCCTATTTTTTGACCTGTACACTTATGTGTGTGTATTAGGCCTTGTCAGCATAGTCTTGAGTAGGATGTTTGATCAGACCTTATTCCCAAGGAACCATTTATGGCTCTAAGCGCCATAAATGCATTTTCTTTTGAATAAAACACAGATAGTCTGATAATGCAACTTCACATTGGGATGTGGTGAATTCTGTAAACTCTTGTCCTAACCCATCCTGCCGGGCACTGAATATAGCTGTATAATTTTTAAGGGCTCACAGCTCAAATTACAGAAAAGACAAGCCATCAAGTAAATGACTTCACTGCTACTGTTTGCAACCTGGCAATTCCTGGTTGAGCAAAATTGGGGTAGTTTCTGAATTGCTTAACTTGGGCCGAGTTCCCTTAAGCACCAAAGGAAAGGAAGCTTGTGTTTCCCTCAAAAAAGAAAAATCAATGCTTTCTTCACCTAGCTGAATTTTTGCAATAGTGGCAGTTAAGTGTTTACATGTCATAACTCCTCCAGCAAAATGTGGTTTGAGAAACAGCTTAGCTTCTACTGTGGAATTGCCTTGCGTGGATGGGCAACAGCGTGCAGCCTGATAACATCATGGGTGTGGGGTGCGGTGCTACAACTTTCATTAAGAAAAACGTGGCAATGTGCTTCTCAGTTGCATCAGGAAAGGCCTTGAGGTTTGCAGGTGGATTTCACCTGTAGCTCAGGACAGGAATTGGAGCAGGAAATCATGTTGTTTTTCTTTTCTGCTCACTCCACTGTGCTGTGTAGTACGTGGTGAATCCAGCGGTGTGAATTTCAACGCTGGCTTCACAAATTCCTTCCACTGAATTCTGGAAGTAGCTGTTAGAGCAGGTCATTGCCCAGTTGAGTTCTCAGTAAGGGGAATTCGTTGCACATTAGCCGCTGGGCCACAAGACATGGTGCCTGAAGCCCTTGTGTCTTTCATCTAAAAAACGGGTTATGGTAAGGTAACTCTTCCCTTGGACTCCTATCTGGATTCTTCCCCGCTGTTGAGCCAAACTTGGCGCCGCTGCAAATATTGAAGACACTTTAAAAAGTATTTTGAATTTTGGGTTCCCCTTTTAATGACCTGACACCAGGGAACTTAAAAGTTTGCTCCTAGTTAAGGAGAGTGTGTGTGTCTTCTTCCAATAATTATATGCTTTGCCTCGCTCCCCCCTTTCTCAGTTAAGAAAAGCAGGTGGCATATATTGAATGTGCAATTTTGTTCCTGAGGTCAGAGTCTCTTTATATGCCTATTGCTGTGTCTCTTGTTAACAAGAACAGCCTGTTTCTCTCTTTCAAGTATCAAATTAATAGCAGAGCTTGTTCAGCTGGGTAGTCAACCTGCAGACTAAGCCCGTGAACACCTTTTGCTGTGAGAGGGACATAATTGGCGGAACACCCTCCCTCCTCCACACACCAGGGCTCTGCTTTGCTGTTAAAATTGCTGACTCCATGTCAATCTTTTCAGGATGACCAATTGAACAGGAAGTGGGAGAGTGCTGGAATGCAACCGTAAACTTGGGGGTGATGCTGTAGGTACAAAAATGGCATTTGTGCATAAGCCTGGACTATCGAACGCATGTCGAGGACCTGTTTTTTTTCTCGCCACTGAGAGTCTGAGGTCTCATTCCCCCAACGAGCTAAGTCAGAGGTCTCCAAACCTGGCAACTTTAAAACTTGTGGACTTTAACTCCCAGAATTCTCCAGCCAGAATTCTCCTTTAAGTTCACAAGTCTTAAAATTGCCAAGTTTGGAGACCTCTGAGCTATGTCATGCTTTGTTGGTTTGGGATCAGGTGTGTTGGGTGAACCCAGCTAGTTATGGCTCATTGCAAGGTGTCCAGACACGAAGCATACCCAGAAATACTAGCCTTATAGTAAGGTTATCTTAACAGAATCTTGCAAGCTTCAAAAGCCCAGCTCAGTCCAAGAAACTACAAAGGGTCAGTTTTGAGATGTTTGCTCCATCCTCATTCCTTCTTTGGACTCGGCTACTTCTTATCTGGTTGTTGACTAGTCTGGGTCTCTTTTTGTCTCCCAAGGTCACATACCATTACATAAAGTATTCTGCAACAACGCGTGGCTTCTACTGTACAAAGCAGGTTGCTGCTTTAGGTAGAAGCATTTCGTAATAGTTGTCTCAAGCTGGTCTGAATAGAAACTGAATGATACTGCGTGAGATTTGATGTGGGCATAACTGGGAAATTAATTTAACTGACTTCCTGGCCCTTTGCTGAGGATTTTTAAATGTTATTTAAAATTTATTTACTTTTTATTATTTATTATTTATAATATATTAATTCCCTCCCAGGCTTGCTTAATTTTAATTATGACCGGTTTGAAATCAGGTAGCTGTAGATCAAGGGAGTCCAACCTGGGCAATTTTAAGGCTTGTGGATTTCAATTCCCAGAGTTTCCCAACTAGCCATGCTCGGAAGTTGGAAGTCCACAAATCTTAAAGCTGCAAAGGTTGGACACCCCATCTAGATTATTGGTACAAGATAGACTTATTCTGCGGTAGGATTAGCCCCACTTTAGGGTCAGATGATATGGGTAAAGTAGTAAATCCAGAATGGAGAATGAAATTTTAATTTTTGTTCAAAATACCATAAATCCTGTAAAACAAAATACTGTACAAAATTGGACAATATCCAAATTCTGAAAGTACAGTATTCCCCCCCCCCCCAGCAAATTTAAATGATTTTCTTGAAAATCCTTAAAGAAGTATTGCCAAGTGGGATCATGAAACAACATAAACCATTTTAAGCATACCCTTTAATTTTCCCAATATGGTGATTTGGCAGGCTTAACAGATTAGAGATCTCTAAAACAGAAAAGCTACTTGAGGTTGGGGAAATTCTCTCTGTATTTATTCATATTACAAATTCCAGCTGCATACTTACACAGGTATTTGCAAACATTTGAGGGTGGTTTGAGTGGAAGTTTGGTAGGTAAGAGAAAATAGTGGAATTTGGGCAAAATATATTTGTGTAACATTAACTTGAATACGGTGACTAACGCAGTAATTGTCAATGGGATGTGAACCACTTGCAAATTTATTTATTCTGTTCACTTTTATAATAAATAATATTGTAAGAGCAACTATTTAACTCTTATTGCAAAACAATACTTAAAATTGCAACAAATTCTAACAAAGGTTAGACCGGGTTTAACAACTCAGGCTTTTATTTGGGTCTACCTAAAATCAACTCATAGAAAAATATTCTAAATAATAAACGTAAACTAATCTTCTGAAATGAGGCATCTGCTGATTTGGAACACAAATTTATATTTTGAAGAGGAGAGACACTATTTTGCAAAAAAAAAAAGGGGGGGGGTGTTGACATGATTTTATTTTCTATAATATCATTTTAAGAATATGGAATGCTGGAATAAGGTTGGGTTACATGTTTTCTTTCCAATGTGCCAGTCCTGCAACTGGTGGCTACTAAAGGAGAATGTGTGTTGTTGGTTTTTTGAGATTTGAGGGCAATAAAATTAAAACAAAACAACAGCCCCCTCCCCCCCCCCCCCCCTTTAAAAAGGTAGCATGCCATTTTCATTTGATGCACCTTCCCGCTGCAGTTGATGTACTTAGGTCGTCTTTACATCCTGATTTATGTTTTTCTTCCTTTTGCTTCTTTGGACCACAGTTTCCTCCTTTGGACGCCCCTTGTATTTATATATATTAGTTATTTAATTTATATCCCCGCCCATATCAATTAAATGACTA